TATATATATTATCTTAATCATTTTGTATCCTGCTCCCCCTTTCTCCCTTACTGTGCTTTAAAAGGACTCTGAGAAGGTCCTAGAACCACTCAGGTCTGGACTCATACTAATGTACAAGAACCTTCTGGCAGGCCCTGAAAGTTACTTTTCTGTGATACTGGGAATTGACCTGAGGCATTATGCATGCTAGGAAAGGGCTCTATGACTGAACTACGCTGCCAGTCCTCTTCAGTTATTTGTGATTAAAAGTTTTTGTTTTTGTTCTTTTAAATAAGCCATCCAGGCTGGCTTTGAACTTGTAGCCTCCTTCTCAGCTTTGCCAGCAGAGGAGTGTACCCCATAGACCTGGCTCTGGGAGGTTGTTTATAGGACTGAGGGAGGTAATGAGGTTTTATAGATGCTTTTCAGAGTGATGGTGTCCTGGGAGCTTAATGTGCGTACTCATTGAGGTCAGGCCATGTGAGCTAGGGGAAGTTTGCCACATGCTCAAGTTCCCTGCAGAATCTTACACTCCTTATACCACTAAAGCATTCAAAAACTATCTCTGCCTTCCTTCAGCAGAATTTGAAATTCATGGTCAGGAGAAGTGCCTGCCTGCGGTTCTGGGGACATTTTCAAGGAACCAGTCTGCTCACCTGAAAAGCCATCTGGGACAGGAAGGTGAGCTTGTCCTTCTCAAACAGTGCTTGGCTGGTGTACAGGAAGATGGTATGTGTGAGGTTCTCTGTCAGGATAGAGATGCGCCCCTGCGTGTCCTCCACCCTGTCCGCCTGCTCGATCGCTCTGTGAAACAGCATGTTGAAAGCCTGGGGAGCATAGCAAGATCATTAAAGGTTGTCAGCTGGTGCCCGGATGCATAGTTGGCCTCAAATACACAGGGCTACATACAAGGTTTGTCCAGGGGACAGCAAACAAGGGAGGATATTCAGGAAGATTAAGTTGTTCCTTGAGACAGTTCCTGGCACACAGTCCTGGCTTATTAAATGTCTGCTGCCACGACTGTTATTAACACCACCCCACAGAATCCGTATTTCCTGGTGTGCTTTTTTAAAAATTGCTTTCAAAAAATTTTAACTACACTAAAATGCATGTAACATAAAATTTACCATCTGAATGACTCGAAATGTACAGGTCTGTAGTGTTAAGTACATGAACGTTGTTGCACGAGCGACCTCCAGCGCATCTGCATTCCAGGAACTCCAGACTCTGCTCATCGAGTGACAACCATTCCCACCTCTCTTCCGCAGTCCTACTACGCCACGTTCTATATCCATGTGCTGTGAGTTTGGCTACTCTAGGCAGCTTGTGTGAGTGGAGCCAGACATCAGTGTGTGTGCGTGTGTGTGACTGGCTTATTTCACTCAGGATAATGTTCTCCAGGTAACTTACTCTCCTCCATATCCCTCTAGCTGTCCCAAATCCAACCACACCATGTTTGTCAGAATTTTTGCACATTAGTTTTGTCCAAATAGCAGAGCTGCTACTTAAGCTTAACTCTGTCGCTGTTCACAGTCACAGCCCATCCACCTCTAAGAGCTTGTGCTAGGGCTTCAGGTCCTTTCTTCACACAGACCGCAACCCTGAATCCCAGCCACGTGGCCTGGGTGGCTCTGTCTGTGGAGTCCTTCCTCCTCCTGGGATCTGGCTCTTGATTCCGTCTCTCTTATACACATCCACATATGTTCATTCCCGCCCTGGAATCCGCGAACTTCTTCACATCTCAAACGTCCCAGCCTAACCCAGACCCTCAAATTCTTGTTTTATGATCAGGCATCAACCAAAATGTCACTTCCTCTGGGGGCCCTTCCCCAAGTCCCCCCAAAGCAGCACTTCCATCTCCATTAGTGTACTTCCCATTTCATAAACTTCTATGCATTTATAAAGGAGGAGCTCTATCATCTACCCCTCTACCTACAGGGTTTTTTCAAAATTGAATGTCTCAGTGGTAAGTGTCTAGCACAATGGAACTCAATAAACATTTGTTTAGAAACTGACGCTCTGGATGAATGAACACTCTCTAGAGAGAGAATGATGCAAGAATGTGCTTTGGAATTAGTCACAGGCTGAAATCCTGGCTCTTAGAATTATAAATGAGGAATTCTGGGAGAATTTATAGAAAAATCTAGAAGTTCTAGTTGTTTTTTTCTTTTCTCTTCTATTTGTTTTTAATGAGGATAAAATTATATACTTTATTGGGACGTTATACGCATAGAAAAATGACCCAAAGCATAAAAGTACCTTGCACATGCAACACCGGCTTAATCCTTTTCTTTCTCCCCTCTTCACTAAAAAACACAAGAAATCTGAGCCTCCTACGTTTTCAAAAAGACAAAATAGATGCCTCAAAGAACATCCCCTTACATGTAGTAAATCTTTTAGATTACTCAAAAGTAACATGTGGAACATATGCCACACTGACAATCCAGCTACCTCAAAGTCTTACTGAATATTATCAATGAAAGATGGTGACGTCATTATGGTTAACTAGATCCTCATGATTCCTTCCTAGAAATACTGATTATCTAGAAATAAATTTCTAATTTCCAGAAAAAAATAGAAATTTGAGCTTTTAAATTTTTCTTTGCCTTCTGAGGATTACCTTCAAAGAGAACTGATAGATGGGGTTGACATTTCTGAGGTCATTAATAACAAAGTAAAGAAGAGATGCTCTTGCTGCCACTGGCCTATAACACTCGCGAGCCTCGTTGATTTTTCTTTCATTTTCTTTGGCTTCAATCACCTATGAGGGGATCAAACAAAATTAATAACACACACATCACATTCTCCATGTAGACCAAAGTAACGGAAGGATCTACCTGAAAGGACAAAGTTTAGACTACAACAGATAACACATGGTGTGTCTATGTGTTTGATTTTGTGAAAAGTTATTAAGTTCATATTTTAAATAATTTTTTTCATAAACTCTGTTTCAGTGAGAATGGATATGACTCTAGGTGCTTTACAGATTACAGATTTAAGCAAACCTAATTGTTTCTGGTTCCACAGAATTTGTTTCAGAGTAATGTCACCTTCTTGCTTCCCCTCTCTTTCAGGGCTTAATAGCCCAGCTATATCACCTCCCAGGGATGGCTTTTAAAAGTCTGCTGGGTCAATCCAATGCCAATAACTTTATTAGGCAACTAGGTATACACAAACAGCCAAGGTCAATGATATATCCAATGGCTACTGCTTACGAAAAAGCCTTTAAATAGAGACCCTCACGGCTGTCTAATTCTAACTTTGTACCAGATCATCCATATGTTCATATATTTCCATTTACCTTGATGTAGTAGCTCTGGAAACATTCAGAGAGAGAATTAAAAAATACCACCACCATCAATGAACATACTCATTTTTATTCAAGGGTCAAATACCTATTTCTTTTATCTGGAACTACTGCTATTTATTGTATCTATAGCTTTACAAGATACAAGATTTTCCCCAAACACTTTTATATCCTTGACTCTTAATATTTGTGTATAAAAAGAAAGGAAATGTAGAGCACAGATGGACGTGACTGCAGGACGATACCTATATTAAGAGGATAGGAAACAGTACTCTAAGAGACAATTAGAAGTTAACTGCAAAGCTAAGACTTAATTTACTTAATTGCCCTAATCTTTACTGTCTTAGGAGCCACCTAGAATTCACTTACTTAAAAAGACAGAGTAATTCAAGATTCAATTTCCTTGCTTCGATGAAGACAAATATAGTGGATGTGTGGTGGCACAACTTCTGCTGGGTAATTAAGAGATTACTTAGCAAGGAGGATGTTCCAGAAAGCAAATAGAGGCCTAATGCTGACTTTGCAACAATGGAACATGAAGGGTTAAAAATCTGCTTGTGAAAGTCTAAAGCGCACACCTGGGGGATGGAATCCTGGGATGCAAATGCCCATGTAGCAGGAAGTCAACTTGATGAAAATTTCCAGCTTTGAGGAAATGTCACTGTTCCAGGGCAAACAATGCAACTGAGTACAGCAGGAGACCACCCATCACTCAGTTTTGGGCTGCTCCAGGGCCGGAAACCAAGCCTCAACTTTTTATTTTTTAAAGAGAATAAACAATAGTAAAAAAAGAATAGAAACGATACAGAATTTCACTAAAGAATAAGAATTCAGCAATGGCTGTTATACTGCATAATGTTGTCTTCCAATTAGTTGTTTAGAAGGTCACCAGATACAAGCATGCAACATTGGCTAAAAAACAGATACAAATTAAAAAAGAGAAGGAAAAAAATTAAACTGTTAACTGTTCCTTTCCACAGGCCAGTAGAAATCAGTAGCACAATTAACCTCAACTCTAAGGAGTTTTCTAAAAATGTCCATCAGACTGACAAACTTGCATTGAGACTATGGGATATTAGTTTGTTCAAGGTGAAGTCTAAGCCTTCTTGGATTTTTCTAAATCTATAAGCTAAATTGAATTTTCTTCAGTGTGGTCACTTGAAAAAGCCTAACAGACTGATTTGTGTGACTGGCTCTCTATGGGAAAGAATGACCAATTCACCCATTTCCATCTCTGTTCTAAATCCAGGTTGTTAAATGACCCGGATTCGCAAAGCCGTAGTGCCCTCACAGGAATTACCCAGCACCCCTTGCCCTATCCTACCTTGCGTTCTATTTCTGCTGCTGTAGACTTCGTTGTCTCCAGTCTTTCTACCAGGTCCGTGTCATCGAGGAAGCTTCCCTCTGCAGCAGACAGGCGCAGGAGGAGGTCGTCCTCAAGGAGCTTCAGCTCTATCTTAAAGTCATTTTGGTGCTTTGTCAAAGCCAACTAACACAAAACAAGAAGTAGGTGAGAAATGGTAAAGAAATATATGTTTTTAAGGGGAGTGAATCACTCATCTCATGATAAATGTATAGTAAAACATACTTAACATTAAACCATACTGGTCATAATTTTTAAAAATTCTCTTTAGAAATTCAGAAAATATGCTAAGATCTTGTCAGACTCCAATGTTCACAGTGTATCATGCAATGATTTATCATAATTATTTGTCACCATAAAACTCTAGGAAGAATCTGTTTAAGAGAGCATGAGAAGCTTTGGGTTTTACTTGGAGTTTAGAGGACTCATTTGTTTTTTTATAAGAAAAAAAATCGCTAAGCAATAATTCTTCCACCAGACAAATGAGGTCACAGGGTAAACTGCCACCCTGAAACCTGGAGGGGAATATATAGGAAATCACTACTAGAACACTCAAACTGCTGCTTAATTGCAGGAGGCAGAACTGGCAAGTTAAAATTTTCTCCAGGCCCAGAAATAAGGGACCCTCCACACTTCGTTTGATCACCAGGAGCCTACTGGGTTTTCACAGTGAAGATAAAACAAAAATCCACTCCTGCATTGGACAGGGGAAGGGAAAAATGAATCATTTTGTGGTAACTCAGGGGAAAAGCAAACATTCTAAATTATGTGCCAGTGCCCCTTCTCAACTGCCTGCAAGGGAAAGGGCTTTTCCGTGGGCTGCTATGACCTAGGGAAGGGGCGCTTAGACAACTCAGCCCAGAAATACTTTCTGCCCGCAAAAGAAGGGGAAAACTGAGAAATCCTCTTGACGGCCACAATCTTAAAACTCTCTTGAGAATTAATCATCAGATTACAGAAAGTTCTCGTTCCAGAACAGTATTAACAGGATCTGGTATAAGAACAGTGAATTACAACTGGCAAGGCCACAGCATGGATCCTACTTAACAAAGGAGTTTTTAGGAAAGCTCAAAACAAAAATTTGACAGGCAAAGTGAAGCCTGTGATATCTACAGCTACAGCAAACATTAAACACAGCTTAATGCCCCAGTGATGATATAGAAAATTTCATCCTAAAATGCTTTATACCTCAGTTCTAATTATTGAATGCATTGGGCCTACTTTCAGCACCACCACCACCACTTGCAAGGTGTGTAAGAGGTGAGAACCACAGTCAACTCCTGAATTTACAAAGCAGACCCCAGAATAAAACCCAAATATGACTGAAGTTTTGGAATTATAATAAGGAGAATTCAAAATAACAAAACTTTATACACAAATATCCCTGCTGGGAAAATTGACACCATGCATGATTACCTGTGAAATGTAAGCAGGGAGATGGACTCTAAGAAGGCATCAAAAGGGGATGCTAAAAATAAATACTACACCAAAATGAAGATTGCACTTTTTGGGCTCATTCAGAGGCTAGATAGCATCATAGAAGAATTTCCAAGATCTATGGGAAAATTATAAAGGTATGTCCGACATATGAGGGCAACGCAACGAGGAGAAAAAAAAAAAAGAGCAGAAGAAATATTAAAAGTCCTAAATTTTGTAAAACTCATGACAAATAGCACATGTGCAGGAAGTTCACAGAACATGAAGCGGAATGAAAACCAAAATGTCTCCATGTCAGAATATCACATTCAAACTGCAAAAAACAAAGGTAAAGAAGATTATTGTGAAAGAATCCAGAAGGTGGGAATAGGGAGTATGACCTCCCGAGAAAGATAGTTAAGAGTTACATGGAACTTCTGTTGAGAAACTGTGCAAGCAAGAAAAGAATAAAGTATTTCAGGAAAAGTACCAACCAATCTAGACTTTTGTAGGCTGTCAAATTATCTTTCAAAAGGAAGAGATAAACTGGGTGAAGTGGTACACACCGGTAATCCCAGAACTCCAGGAGGTTGACGTAGGAGGATCACAAATTCAAGCCTAGTCTGGGCAGTTTAGAGACTTAGCAAGATCTTGTCTCAAAAAAAAAAAAAAAAAAAAAAAAAAGGTGGCTGGGCATGTAGGTCATTGGATTTAATTCCAAGTACCATAGACACACGCATACAGGCCCCTACACATAAAATAGTGAAGGACAAGGCTTTTTGGGGCCAATA